TCAGAATCCCCAAAATTCCCTCAGAATTCCCCAAATTCCCGCCCAAATCTCCTCAGGATCACCAAAATTCCCTCAGAATTCCCAAAATTCCCCCAGAATCCCCAAAATTCCCCCCCAAAACCCAAATTTCCCCCAGAATTCCCTCAGAATTCCCAAAATTCCCTCAAATTTCCCTCAGAATTCCCAAAATTCCCTCAGAATTCCCCAATTCCCGCCCAAATCCCCTCAGGATTCCTAAAATTCCCCCCCAAAATTCCCAAAATTCCCACAAAATTCCCAAAATTCCCTCAGAATTCCCAGAAATTCTCCTCAGAATCCCCCAAAATTCCCCCCAAAATCCTAAAATTCCCCTCAGAATTTCCTCAGAATTCCCAAAATTCCCTCAAATTTCCCTCAGAATCCCCAAAATTCCCTCAGAATTCCCCAAATTCCCGCCCAAATCTCCTCAGGATCACCAAAATTCCCTCAGAATTCCCAAAATTCCCCCAGAATCCCCAAAATTCCCCCCCAAAACCCAAATTTCCCCCAGAATTCCCTCAGAATTCCCAAAATTCCCTCAAATTTCCCTCAGAATTCCCAAAATTCCCTCAGAATTCCCCAATTCCCGCCCAAATCCCCTCAGGATTCCTAAAATTCCCCCCCAAAATTCCCAAAATTCCCACAAAATTCCCAAAATTCCCTCAGAATTCCCAGAAATTCTCCTCAGAATCCCCCAAAATTCCCCCCAAAATCCTAAAATTCCCCTCAGAATTTCCTCAGAATTCCCAAAATTCCCTCAAATTTCCCTCAGAATCCCCAAAATTCGCTCAGAATTCCGCAAATTCCCGCCCAAATCTCCTCAGGATCCCCAAAATTCCCCCCCAAATCCCAAGTTTCCCCTCAGAATTCCCTCAGAATTCCCAAAATTCCCTCTTCAAATCCCAAAATTCCCTCCGAATCCCCAAAATTTCCCTCAGAATTCCCAAATTTCCCTCAGAATTCCCAACTTTCCCACAGAATTCCCCAAAATTCCCGCCCAAATCTCCTCAGGATCACCAAAATTCCCTCAGAATTCCCAAAATTCCCCCAGAATCCCCAAAATTCCCCCAGAATTCCCTCAGAATTCCCAAAATTCCCTCAAATTTCCCTCAGAATCCCCAAAATTCCCTCAGAATTCCCCAAATTCCCGCCCAAATCTCCTCAGGATCACCAAAATTCCCTCAGAATCCCCAAAATTCCCCCCCAAAACCCAAATTTCCCCCAGAATTCCCTCAGAATCCCCAAAATTTCCCTCAGAATTCCCAAAATTTCCCTCAGAATTCCCAAAATTTCCCTCAGAATCCCCAAAATTCCCTCAGAATTCCCCAAATTCCCGCCCAAATCTCCTCAGGATCACCAAAATTCCCTCAGAATCCCCAAAATTCCCCCCTAAAACCCAAATTTCCCCCAGAATTCCCTCCGAATCCCCAAAATTTCCCTCCGAATCCCCAAAATTTCCCTCCGAATTCCCGAATTTCCCTCAGAATTCCCGAATTTCCTTTAGAATTCCCCAATTTCCCGCCCAAATCCCCTCACACCTGCGGCCTCTCCGCCTCCCTCAGCAGCACCGCGAGGCCTTCGCTCCCCTCAGGCTCCTCCAGCGCCTCCCGCAGCCTCGCCGTGGCCTGGAAGGGAATAAAAACCCCCCAAACCTTCACCGAAACCCTTTGGAATACGGAAAAATTCCCAGATTTTCCCGAATTCCCGGTACCTGGCGAATCCCGGCGCTGTCCGGCTCCAAAAGCTCCGTCAGGAGCCGCTCCAGTGTGGGCGCCGCCATTTTGGAACGGTGAGAATGCGGAAGTGAAGCGGAGCGCCGCCGGAAGTGGGCGGGGCTAAGCGGCGCGCTACCCGGCTTGGAGGACTTCTCTATGGTCTTAAAGCGGCCATTGGTTTGTGGGGACCGCTCTTAAAGGGGCGATGACGGCGAGAGGAGATTTGGGGTTAAAAGCGGCGATTTTGGGGCTAAAAATGAGGAATTTGGGCAAAATTTGCTCGTTCTGGAGGCTAAAAAAAGGGAATTTGGGGTCAAAAGTTGGAATTTGGCGGTTCAGAGCGGCTAATGAGGGGAGAAATTGTCGGTTTGGGGGGCGCAAAGGGTGGATTTGGGGTGAAAAATGGGGTTTTGGGTAAAGTTTGGGAGGTCTTGTGAACAAAAGGAGGATTAAGGGTTAAAAGCGGAGATTTTGGGGCTAAAAATGATGATTTTGGGGCTGAAAAGATCGACTCGGGGCATAAATGGTTGCTTTGGGATCGGAATGCTGATTTTGGGGCAAAAACAAGCGATTCGGGGTCATTTTGCTCCTCGAGATTTGGAATTTTGGGGGTGAAACTGAGGATTTTAAGGATTTGAGGGGTAAAAAGAAGAATTTCGGGGCGGGCTCGAGGATTTGGGGGCGGAATCAGCTCTTTTGGGGCTAAAAATTGACATTTTGGGGCTAAAATCGGGTTTTGGGGTAAAGCTCTTAAAAGGGCAACGCCGCCATGAGGGGGTGGGGGGGGACCACAGCGGCCTTAAAGGGGCAACGCTCTTAAAAGGGCAACGCCGCCTTAAAAGGGTAACGGCGGATATAAGGGGCCCGCCGTGCGGTTTTGAAGCAGGAAATGACATCACCGAGACGCGCGTGACGTCACCGACGCGCTGCTGACGTCATCAGCGAACCTTTATTAAATAATAATAACGGAGTCACCGGCGGGAAAGGAGCTCGGGGGGGGGGAAGGAAATGAAGGGTGGGCGTGGCTTGAAAGGGAGGGGGCGTGGTCTGGGTCTGGCCACGCCCCTTTCCCCCCCTCAGGGCCTGGCCACGCCCCCCCGCAGGGCCAGGACAAGATGGAGGACGGAGCCCCCCTGGATTTTGTAGTCGGCCGCCGTCTTCTCATCGTTCCTGAGGGAGGGGGAGGGGTCAGAGAGGCCACGCCCACTCCGACCACGCCCACTTTGCCTAAGCCACGCCCCCGACAAGCCACGCCCACACGGCTCCCCGTTAAGCCACGCCCACCTGGTTAAATCCCAGTTTTTACCCCAAATTTTGATCCCAAATTTTTCTTCGGAAGAGAAAAACTTGCCCCAAATTTCTCCGTTTTTTAACACAAATTTTACCCGAATTTTCCCGTTTCTGACCCGATTTCCAACCCAAATTTCCACATTTTCCACCCAAAATTCCCAAATTTACACCCAAAATTCCCCATTTTCCCCCCCAAAATTCCCATTTTCCCACCCAAACTCCCCCATTTACCCGAATTCCTCCATTTTTCACCCAAAATTCCCAAATTTTTCACCTAAACTCCGCCGTTTTTCCCAAACTTTCCCCAAAATTTCCCCATTTTTACCCCAAATTTCCTCATTTTTCACCCAAAATTCCCAAATTTTTCACCTAAACTCCGCCGTTTTTCCCAAACTTTCCCCAAAATTTCCCCATTTTTACCCCAAATTTCCTCATTTTTCACCCAAAATTCCCAAATTTTTCACCTGCAATTCCCAATTTCCCCAAAATTTTCCCCTTTTTAGCCCCAAATTCCCAATTGCCCCCAAATTTCCCCATTTTTACCCCAAATTTCCTCATTTTTCACCCAAAATTCCCAAATTTTTCACCTGCAATTCCCAATTTCCCCAAAATTTTCCCCTCTTTAACCCAAAATTCCCAATTTCCCCTAAATATCCCCATTTTTACCCCAAATTCCCAATTTTCTCCCCAAAATTCCCCCATTTTTCACTCAAAATCCCAAATTTCCCCCCAAAATTCCCAATTTCCCACCCAAATTCCATCATTTTTACCCAAAAATCCTCAATTTTTAAGCCAAAATTCCCAAATTTTTCACCCAAAATTCCCAAATTTTTCACCCAAAATTCCCAATTTCCCCCAAAACTTCCCCATTTTTACCCCAAATTCCCAAATTTTTCACCGAAAATACCCAAATTTTTCACCCAAAATTCCCAATTTTCCCCCAAACTCCTCCATTTTCCCCAAAATTCCCAATTTCCCCATTTTTGCCCCAAATTCCCAAATTTTTCACCGAAAATTCGCAATTTCTCCCCCAAAATTCCCGATTTCCCACCCAGATTCCACCATTTTTTATTCAAATTTCCAAATTTCTCCAGAATTTCCCCATTTTTACCCCAAATTTCCCCATTTTTCACCCAAAACTCCCAATTTCCCAACCAATTTTTTCCACTTTTTATCCAAATTCCCCCTTTTTTCCCCCAAAAATTCCCAGTTTCCCCAAACTTCCCAATTTCCCCCAAATCCCAACATTTTTCACCCAAATTTCCACATTTTTCACCCCAAATTCTCATTTTTTAGTCAAAATTTCCCCACTTTTACCTAAAATTCCCAAATTTTTCACTCGAAATTCGCAATTTCCCCCAAATTTCTCCATTTTCCACCCAAATGTCCCCATTTTTACCCCAAATTCTTTTTTTCCATCCAAATTTCCCCATTTTTACCTCAGATTTCCCCATTTTCTCCAAAAATTCCCATTTTTTACCCCAAATTTCCCCATTTTCAGCCAAAATTCCCAAACTTTTCTCCCAAATTCCCCAATTTTCCCAAATTTCTCCATTTTTCACCCAATTTTCCCCATTTTGCACACAAAATTCCCCATTTTTACCCCAAATTTCCAATTTCCCCCACAAAACTCCCAATTTCTGCCCAAAATTCCCCATTTCCCTCCCAAATTCCCCATTTGTACCCCAAAATTACCCAATTTCCCCCAAATTTCCAATTTTCCCCCAAAACTCCCAATTTCCCACCCAAATTCCATCATTTTTACCCAAAAATCCTCAATTTTTAAGCCCAAATTCCAAAATTTTTCACCCAAAATTCCCCATTTTTAATCCAAATTCCCAATTTCCCCCAAATTTCACCATTTTTACCCCAAATTTCCTCATTTTTCACCCAAAATTCCCAAATTTTTCACCTAAACTCCGCCGTTTTTCCCAAACTTTCCCCAAAATTTCCCCATTTTTACCCCAAATTCCCAATTTTCTCCCCAAAATTCCCCCATTTTTCACTCAAAATCCCAAATTTCCCCCCAAAATTCCCAATTTCCCACCCAAATTCCATCATTTTTACCCAAAAATCCTCAATTTTTAAGCCAAAATTCCCAAATTTTTCACCCAAAATTCCCAAATTTTTCACCCAAAATTCCCAATTTCCCCCAAATTTCCCCATTTTTACCCCAAATTCCCAAATTTTTCACCGAAAATACCCAAATTTTTCACCCAAAATTCCCAATTTTCCCCCAAACTCCTCCATTTTCCCCAAAATTCCCAATTTCCCCATTTTTGCCCCAAATTCCCAAATTTTTCACCGAAAATTCGCAATTTCTCCCCCAAAATTCCCGATTTCCCACCCAGATTCCACCATTTTTTATTCAAATTTCCAAATTTCTCCAGAATTTCCCCATTTTTACCCCAAATTTCCCCATTTTTCACCCAAAACTCCCAATTTCCCAACCAATTTTTTCCACTTTTTATCCAAATTCCCCCTTTTTTCCCCCAAAAATTCCCAGTTTCCCCAAACTTCCCAATTTCCCCCAAATCCCAACATTTTTCACCCAAATTTCCACATTTTTCACCCCAAATTCTCATTTTTTAGTCAAAATTTCCCCACTTTTACCTAAAATTCCCAAATTTTTCACTCGAAATTCGCAATTTCCCCCAAATTTCTCCATTTTCCACCCAAATGTCCCCATTTTTAACCCAAATTCTTTCTTTTTCCATCCAAATTTCCCCATTTTTACCTCAGATTTCCCCATTTTCCCCAAAATTTCCCCATTTTTCACCCAAAACCCCCAATTTCCCCCAAATTTACCCAATTTTACCCAAAATTCACAAAATTTTCACCCCAATTTCCCCATTTTTACCCCAAATTTCCCCATTTTTACCCCAAGTTCCCAATTTCCCCCCAAAATTCCCGATTTCTCACCCAAATTCCACCATTTTTACCCAAAAATCCTCAATTTTTAAGCAAAGATTCCCAAATTTTTCACCCAAAACCCCCAATTTCCTCCAAATTCCCAATTTCCCACCCAAATTCCATCATTTTTACCCAAAAATCCTCAATTTTTAAGCAAAGATTCCCAAATTTTTCACCCAAAACCCCCAATTTCCTCCAAATTCCCAATTTCCCACCCAAATTCCATCATTTTTACCCAAAAATCCTCAATTTTTAAGCCCAAATTCCAAAATTTTTCACCCAAAATTCCCCATTTTTAATCCAAATTCCCAATTTCCCCCAAATTTCACCATTTTTACCCCAAATTTCCTCATTTTTCACCCAAAATTCCCATTTTTTATCCCAAAATTTCCTTTTACCCTAAATTCCAAAATTTTTGACCCAAAATTCCCAATTTCCCACCCAAATTCCCAAATTT